AAAAAAAAAAAAAAAAACAATTTGTTTAAAAGGCATGCATATTTCTTGTTTTAATAGTCAATTTAAAAATTTAGAGATTTTTAAAAAAGGAAAAATTTTAACCCAGAATAATAGACATGAAATTATATCTAATAAAATTTCTATATAGTACTATGGATATCCGGATATCCGTATAGCTTATCCATTACAAATATACTGGCATAGTGAGAAATTTTATGCGCAATGGTAAGACGAGAGAATATAGTGTAAGGCAGCTCGTCAGAGGCGTGACTAAAGTGATTAATAGTTTATTATAGTATTATTATGTGCTCCTTCACCACTCTTGCTTTTAATAGTTTATTATAGTATTCTTATGTGCTTCTTCGCCACTCTTACTGTTATGCCCTTTATATAGTTTCTTGTACAATCAAAAGAAGTTTTGACTGCCTTCACCAAAAATTTTGCTTAGAATTTCTACACATTGCCGCGTGTATCTTTCACGAAATGTTTTAGCTTTAAATGTGGTTATTTTGGCCGATTATTGTCTTTGAGCCGATAAGTATAATGTCATAACCGAGGATTTCAAAGCTTCGACCTTTGTGGCGTCTTAGATCTCTCATTTTTAGAAATGTTACTTTAACCAGTGACAAAATACAAATAATATCCCGACATCCGCAAAGACACATTATACTAATTTTATATTAAAAATCGGGTTGACATAACTAAGTCACGACCTATAGCATTACCTAATAATTATTGCTCTCATGCGTATAATGATTAAATTCATTTCAAGAAAGTATTCAGATATGTGAATGAAAAAAAAGGATGTCTCGAATATTAGTTTTCTGAATAAATTATGTGTAGTAAATTCCCATCTGTAATATATAATTATAATTAAATTTCATGCGATAACGGAAGAATGTTGTATTTAAATTATAAATTAGATAAGTCAGTGGCATTTTTATAGTTATATTTAAATATATATATATAACATTTATGTGCCATACGTATCTATTATTTTTATCATACCAAACCTGTCTAAAGTCTCCATGAAACTGGCTCAACTTTACTAACGTCCACTGTAGAATTCACTTCCGTGGGTTGCTTATATTCTTTCCCGATATTAGTTTCACAATTATCTTTGTTTATAAAATCTGGTTTAGAGTTTAGTACTGCAAGGCTGCTAGTACTAGATGATTGTTTGCATGCATTATCAGTTTCATGTTCGCATTTGTCCTTTAATAATGGTCTCGACGACAAACAACGATTATTTTCATTTATTTCGTTGAAAAAAGTATGTGATAAAGCACGTTTAGCTGAGATGCGTAATGAGTCGTCGTACGTCAACATTTTCTATTCGTATTTGTGTCGTAAATATGTTAAAGATATCGTGATGAATAGATGTTTTAAAACAAACATTGCATCGAATATATACGCTGTTTTAAAACAATTCAACTTACACTGAGCAAATCAACACCATGTGAATTTAAAGTGGGAACATAGTTATCAAGAGGTTGTGGTTTCCATTTTGGGAAAACAGGCTTGAAATCTTTAAATTGTGTTATGTTAGGCCAAACACTTTCGTCCGGAGTTCCAAGAACCCTTACATTAGTATTATTATTATTATTATTATTATTATTAATTGAATTGAACACCTTCATTAAAGTAAAATAAATAAATAATAAAGCTTACTGAAAGATTCGGAAAAGTTCATCTATTTCACTATCTCCTGTTCATATCGATTAATAATATACATCACAGAATAATCTTAAAGTAGATAATTATTTTT